ACCCTGTCTTGAAAAACCAAAAAAAAAAAAAAAAAAAACAAGCAAAAAAAACCTGATTTCTTTTTCGGTAGTAACACATGAAAAGTCACTCATAATTCAGATATGAACCAGAAATGAGCCTATCTAGTCAGTTGATGCAGAAGTAATCATTATTTTGTGAAAATTTAGAGCCATTTTAACAGAATGAAGGGGAAAACACCAATCTACTAATATCAGCCAGAGCTAGCTAGACAGATAACTTTAGCCCACATGGATTTTTTCACTCCCAACTCTCCGAAAACCTTAGAGAAACCCAAAGCTGATAAGGTAGACCAGCTCTTCCCTTCACCCCCATGGCCCTGCTGTCTAGGAGACTCACTGGCTGAGTACTATCTTAAGGATCTGAACAGTCCTTCCTATACAGGAAGCTAAGTCTTTTTTGAAGAAAGAATTCTCCTCCTACAGATAAGAATCACCATGGAGAAGCAGTTGTTCCTGGCTACACAATGACAGGACTTCTTCTCCTGAGCATAACATTGGGAGATGCTATTGAGCTGAGTCATATTTCAGTTTAAACAGAACTGTTCCATAGGTTACTTTATTTTGTGTGTGTGCATGCATGTGTGTGTGTTGTGTGTGTGTGTGTAGGGGTGTGTGTGAAGATCTGCATGTGTGAAGATCTGCATGTGTGTGTGTGTGTGTGCACATGCAAGGCCAGAGCGTGACACTGATTATCTTCCTCCCTCCCTCACCACTTTCCCTTTGGAGACAGGCTCTTTCACTGAACCTGGAGATCACCCATTCAGTCTGACTGCCTGGCCAGTGAGCCCCTGGGATCTACCCATCTCCACCTTCCCTGTCCTGAGACTGCAGGCAACTGTTGTGCTCAGTTATTTTTTTATTTGCTTGCTGTGGATCAAACTTGGATATTTATGTTTCTATAGCAAGCCCTTTACCAACTGACTTATCTCCCAGTCTCTATCAGACTCTTCCACTTGATGATTCTTGCAGGATTTGTCACCATAGGAAGGACTATGATTGAAAGTGTCTCAGGAGAAACACAACACTGATGATTCTGAGGGTGAAATGTGATGGTATTTTACACATAGTTTAACCAATTTTGCATCCACATTATTCAATAGTTAACCTTTTTCCCTCCTGTGGCATTTTAAATACGAATATATTGGATTACAAAATAGCACTCCTTCAAATTCTATTATTAGAATCCAGTAGTAGGTGGAGACTTTTTTTTCTGCCAAGTAAACTGGTGCTAAACCTCCCAACTGCACAGAGCTATGACAGATTCACAGGGCACCATGACTTTGATATTTTAAATGATACTGTGAGAAGGGAGTTGCTTTTATGTTTAGTGGGTGTATTAGCTTTCAAATTAAAAGAGCCAAGTGATTGCTTTCCTGTAAACAGAAAAAGTATTCATTTTATACACATTCAAATCAGACTACCCTTTCTCCCCTGATACCAGGGAGAGATAGATGTTCTTGGCCTTTCTTTTTCTCTCCATAAGGATCATTTGAGTCAGTTGAGAACTCCTCCCATTTTTCTTTCACTTAACTTCCAATTATAACTAAGAAGAAGTTAGGCACCCATGTAAGGAGACGTGAAGCTGTATATATTAACAAATCCATAGCAAATATTCACACACACATAGAGCTCAATCTTGAGAGTTTAGGAACCGGCTATGGTGCCACGTACCATGCTCGCACTCAGAAGGATGAGACAGGAGGAGTGTGAAGTTGAGGCCAGTCTGGACTAGGTTATGTAGTGAGATTGTTTCTCTCCCCCATTTTAAAATAACTGGTCTTAAATTTCCCCTTCCAGGTAGGGTTGACTTACATGAAAATCTAGGTAAAATGCTGAAAAAAAAATCAAAGGGATGAGAGTACAGCCTAACTTTTGATAGTGCCACTTGATATGGTCACTCAAAAAGTTCAAGTTTGAAATGTACTCGGTCAAGTTATAATACACACACACACACACACACACACACACACACACACACACACACCCTCACACACCCTCATAAAAGTTCTCATATAATGCTTGAGTAGGTTTACATTTTGTATGGGTTTATAGCTATCCTTGGGCAAGTGTGCCCAGCAGGCTGCAGGTTGGATAGAAAGTTGAAAATTCTGTGTAGCAGAGAAATCTGGTGAGATTCAGGAAGATGTCCAGCTCCTCATACTGACCTGAGGAATCTTAAAAATCTAAGTTCAGAGCTGATTTCTGAAGAGAAGCCTTGATGGATGTGAGGGAAATGAGCACATTGATTAGGAATCCTTAGAGACTGTAGTGATGAAACAGGGAATATAAACAGGTGACTCTAAGCGCTCAGACAACCCCCAAGAGTTGTCAAATTCAGACAACTGCAGGGTCTACAGACAGACAGACAGACACAAACATAGACACACACACACACACACACACATGCACACACACACAAGCTCAGCTAAAATGCCTGACAATGAAAAACAAAACAGAACACAACAACAAAACAGCCTACATATCTACATTTCCACAGTTTTGAGAACAAAACATTTAAAAACATTACTGTTCAAGACGTGCCAAGAGAAAGGCCCCACTTGATGAAGTCGACTAAAATGCATTCTCGGTATCAAATCTAGCCCACTTTTAATTTTATGTTACCTAGGAGTAAAGTTTATATATTTTAAATAGTCAAGGAAAAAGAGTAAGATCATTTTGTTCCATGAAGGCATACAAAATTACATTTCTGTATCTACAAGTAAGGATTTCTTGGAACATAATCATGACCTTCATATGTTCACTTTGACTGCTGAAGCCAAATGAGTAGGTGCGAAGATGCTGGGGTGACCTTTGAAGCCTAAAATACGAACTATCTGGCCCCGTTCAGACAGTGTTTGCCAAGCTTCACTAGGCTGTTAGTTGAAAACCCTGGCACACAAATACCCAGAGAATGAGGACAAACCAGAGATGGACTGTGTCTCACAGAGCACGATCCAACTTCTGATTGGCTCCATTCTAGATTGGATTATAGCAACTGACAGTGACTTTCTCTGCCTGGCAGAGGAAGGGGGTGTCTCAGTTGGAGAAAGCTATCACTATGGTGAAGACCTACAGTTTTTAATACATATTTTACACACATTACAGAATTCAGAACATTACTACACCAACCTCGTGTGTCTGAGATGATTGTGATGCACAATTGGCTTAATCAGCAGCCCCCAAAGCAACCTGTTAACATTTTAAACACTCAGTAGTAATTCATGTTATTTAAAGAAGAGAAAAATAAAACAAAAGAAACAGTATTACCCCAAAGCACTTTTCTTGGCAAGAAAACATAAATTATGTGTCCAGAATAGCAGCACTCAAATGAAATAAATGTGACTTTTATTGTCCAGCATCCCAGTCTATGAATTATTTTGTAGAAAATGAAGACAAACAGTAACTGACCAGCACTAAGACATTCTGACCAAGTAGTCTCTAGATCTCATTTTTCAGTGACATACAATTTTAGGCATTAGCGTTGTATTTGAACTTCTACCATTCAGATAACACAGACAAATATAGATGTTGAAACAATTAACAGTGGAATATTGTAAAATGCACAATATTGTTTGTACATGCCTCCTAGGATGTAGAGTAAATGAAAAGAACAACTCAAATGGGCCAGAAAGCTGAGAAATGCAGTATTCACAAACAGAATTGTTAGATTCATTTTAATGAGAATATGCTAAGATTACACATCTATGACAAAGTAAATTGTAACTCTTTGATATAACACGCAAGGTAATTTTAATTTACAGCCTATCACAGTTTGCAACACATGTCTTAGTGGTGTCAATTTGATATAACCTAAGTGTGCTGAAAAGCCGGATTATATACTAATTCTATAGGCTACATCCATACACAGTTGTGTTCTGAAACAGTAATAGATACAACTATAAAAAGAAAGTTAAATATAGATTTGATTAAATTGATTATATATACATTTATCTATACATAAAACTGAATTTTCTAATTTTTAATTTAACTTGTTAGTATATTTATTCTGCTTTTATATAGGAACTCAAAACATTATTTCAGGAAGTTAGAGTTATTGTTAAAAGAAAAGAGCTCTTAGAATTAGAGGGATTTTTTTAAATAACTTAAAATGAACTTTGAAAAAGTTTAAATATTCCCCATCACTCTTGTCAACTTTATGTGCCCATCAGTGATATTTGCTTCCGTACAGGCTCTAAAAGTTTGATCAGAAGAAGTCTGTGAATATGGTCAAATAATAAGCCACTAGAGTCTACTATTTAATTTAAACAAATGGTAAGAACTCATTTTAACATTAACCAAATATTTTTTTAGAAATTACAAGGATCCTCAATTACAGACTTCATCTATAAATTTACTAATTTAAAACAAGGCTTGCATTCATCTAGGACTCTATTTTAAAAGAATTCTTCTCATACATGGGAACAGTCCATTTTAAAGCAATCCTCTGTATTTATACTAGGATCTGGAAAAGAGCAAAGATCATCTAGGACACTCATGCAATTATTTGCTTTATTCAACTGCCTTTTTATAGAATAAAATGTTTCTTTTAAACACTGGCTCCTTGCTAACGGGCAGAATGCTGTTGCCTTTGAAGGGGACATCAAGTATTATTTACAGTTCTGCAATATTGCTTCTCTCTGCATCCTATCTGACTTTAGCTAAATGACCAGAATCCTCAGAGAGACATCCTGCAAACAAAAAGTCCTTAGTAGGTGGGAGAAAGTCAGGCCAGAGGTCAAAGAGAACCGCAGAAATGACAGAGGTGATATGATGATATTCTGCAGCATCTCCTCGGGAAGGGACAGTAAACCACATGGCCCCGCTGAAACGCCGAGTTCACTCTCCTATCCTAGCAGTAAATCTTACATTTAGAAATGGCTTCAGCCAGATCATTGCCTTTTTACATAAGAATCTCTTTTAAGAATTCACAAACATCCTCAAAGTGCACTGCTGAAAAGCATAAAAACTTAATAACCTACCATTTTCTTTGCACTCTTCTGGAGGTTTAGCCTTTTTCGCAAGTCGTGGATCCAGCCATGATGTTGTCTTTGTGTTATGGCTGAAAAGAAAAGAGATCACTCTGAAAAGACACATACTACAAGGAATCAAGTTTATTCCTTAAGAAAAAAATAAGCCGGGTTAGTTCAACAAAATTGCAATCGATACACTTAATTTGCTTACTGGTTCTAAGTAGCCCTGAAGGAGGTGTAAGAGTAATTGTGCAGGGCGGCTGTAAATTTGGCAACCTCAGCTCCCTGTCCTCAAAGCAGCTATTTTTATTAAAATCAACTAGAATGTTGCCAAGTTAACCTCATTGAAAATGCAGAACTCATCCAGAGCGAAAAGAATTTATTACAAATACAGGATTCTCCAGTGGGGAGAGCAGAGTCCTTACGCTCTGACACTGTTTCCTGCCTTTTGCAGAAGCAGTATTTTCATCTTAAACCACGCTTTTCATAAACAATTGTTTGTTAACTACAGAGCTGGGGGAGGCAGTACAAAAGTGATGCAAATTACAGCATGTTCCTGGGATTCCTACATTTTCTCCAAAAGTGATTAATAGCAATTTCATTTACTCACATTAAGCTATCTTACTCCTAGATACTTTTATACTAGCTAGGAAGGCAGTAGATTAAAAAATGTTTGCATTCTAATTTTTGAAATGGAATTTCTAGGAATGGAAAAAAAAATCTCGTTTAGGAAAAAAAAAATGTTTTCTTGTCCAGAAATCTATAATCAGAGGAGACTTTCTTAAAGAGGTGCCGGGTCCTTGTGTTGGGGTCACCTTGTGGACTTGTTAGCAATATCTTCTGGGTCTTCCCTGAACTACCAAGTCCTGGGGTTTGTGGGGGAGAGGAAATATGATGTGGCGGGGCAGGTGGTTGGTACAAATCTCTGTCATTGATAAGCACCCCAGTGATGTTTAAGCATTATAATTCAAGAATTACTCAACTGCTCAGCTGGCCATTAGAACTAAAAGTTGACTCCATACAGTTGTATCCAGGGAGCTCATGGGACAATGGGCAAATAACCAGGAATTTAACATTTATGAAGGCTTCAAGAAGAGAATACACAAAGTAACAGGTACTGGGAAATGAGATTTACACAAATGAGCAAAGAAAGAAACACAAAAGAGTAAAAAAATGGATTAAGTAGTTATTAGGCCCAGATCACAGCATGCTTCAGTGGAGATGAGATCCGTGGAGATCAAGATGTTCAGGAGGACACACATTTTGTTTATTTTTCTTTCTGGTTATAGCGGAGCCTCAGACATTAACTAGACCATCAGATGTACTGGAAGTAAAGATCAGAAAAATTTCCTACAGAGTACTATCATTAACAGAATCATGAAACTGTTTCTAAATCACAAAGGAGATTTCAAGCCAGGCAAAGGGAGGGTGGAGCCAAGACGGCCCGTGGAAAGCCGTCCTTTGCATCGGAGTGTTCTTCAGCAGCAGTTTCTAGATGGCCATCCTTCGTCTGCTTTGAGAACAGTGTCCTACTTGGCTTTCCAATGCTGTGACAAATACTAGGACCCAAAGCAGCTTTGGAGAAGAAAGGGTTTATTTGGCTTACATTTCTGTTATAGTCCATCATCCAGAGAAGTCACGGCAGGAGCTTGAGCCAGGAACTGAAGCAGAAACCATGAAGAAATGTTGCTTAGTAGCTTGTTCTCTGTAGTGCTCTCAGCCTGCTTTCTTACACATCAAGGACCACCTGCCCAGGGGTCGTACTGCTTCCAGCTGCCAGGGCCCTCCCCCGCATCAATCATTAATCAAGCAAATGCCCATAGAGCATGCTGATGGAAGAAAACCCTCAATTGTGGTTGTTCCCTCTTCCCAGGTGACTGTAGTTTATGCCAAGTTGACAAAAATACAACAAAAATCCTCAAAACTAACCAGCACACACATTAAGATCTGTGAGTTATGAAAATGCAGATCCTGAAGAAAATCCCCTTTTCCTTTTGCCATTCCTGTGAGGCAAGGAGAAAATATTGACTGTAACTTCCGTCAGATGTATGAAATCTTCTGCAATAGATGCATCTGAAATGGAACTCCAATAATTCAATGGGGTAATGCCTGGAATTTGACCAAAACATAAATCATCTAGCAAGTTTGCCAGCTTTTACTGTCCCCCCCAATTTGACGTCTGTGAAGTCTGGTGGTGCCACATTACAAGTCAAGAGGATTGGAACTACTGTGGACATGTACATCTGGTCCTAGCCAGATGTCAACATAATCCATTCTTTTCCTCTGAATGGAGGTTGATGTTTTGAATACCCCAAATGTGGGGATCAGAACACTGGCAGTAAGTGTGCCACCATCATTTCATAATAGGAGAGAACCACTTGCCTCAGTGAAAAGTACACATGTGTCTGTGTCTCTCTCTCTCTCTCTCTCTCTCTCTCTCTCTCTCTCTCTCTCTCTCTCTCTGTGTGTGTGTGTGTGTGTGTATAGGTGCACACATGTGTGTTAATGTCCATGTTTGTATCAGGTAGGAAAATACATTGGGAGGTAGGCAAGGGATAGAAATGTTCCCCTTTTGACCCACATTTGGCCTTTCTAAATTCTTTGTCCCTTTTGGAGAAAAGTAATTTCTAGGTTCTTTAGAAATATTCGTAAAAGAAAATCTATCTATGGATATGTATTAAGGGGCCATTAATGTGACTCCACAGGAGTCAAATTACCATTTCTAGACCATACTAGCACAGTCTCAAATACTGGCTAATTTAGGAGAGAGCTGTGAGTGTCCCAGCTTTTCTGAGTTTATATAAAGCATTCCATTACAGAATGAATTTTTAGCTTGAACTAGAGTTAGCAGTGTGTCACTTTAATACATTTTGACAGATTGAGTCTCTTATAGTTAACAGTATTTTTAGCTGTTCTTCAGAAATGATTCTGAAAGAAATGTGGGTAGTAGTTACCTCCAGTAATTGTCTTAAACATCACATGAAGACACAGCACAGTATTTTTCAATAGTGGTTCTCAGCAGCTTGTAATTTGCATGCTCTTCCAAGATGCCTTACAAAGGGGATATTTTTAATGCATTTGGGAGACAACACACTAAATAGCTTTCCTTCTTCCCTTAAATTATGTATTTTAAACCTTAATAATTCCATTTGAGGATAGGATTTAAAGGTGGGCAGGAAACCACACAAAATGGAGTCATTGAGAGTCTTCCCCACCCCAATCTGAATGCTGTCTTTTCTCAAATTCAAGGAAGGCATTTTTTTTTCACTTCCTTAGCTAGGGCAGATTCAGGTGCTTGGCATCAATTTTCTGTATCTATGCAAGATGTGTGCCACCAAAATGACATGAAGAGGAAATGCCAGTGCAGTATAATCTTATCTTGTGCTCTCCATAGATGGACCTATTCAGACTGCTTTAACCGAGGGGGATCTATTTAGGTTCCATTTGCAGAAACTGTTCTTATTCTAGCGGGTAAATAGAACATATATTCCAGGAGCTTTGAAGCACAATAATGTCTTGATTTACATGTTACTGTAGATGAAGCTTAGCTATCACAAAAAGCTATTCAGGTATTGTTGATGTCATATTTAATAACCTTGATGAAAATCTAAAACACATGGTTTGTCCAATATAGCTACTCCAAACTCTAATGTTAAACTATACACCGAGGACTATTATAAACCAGAACTGGAATTTTATTCAAATGTGCAATTCTAGTTTAAATTCATAATAAGACACACACAGAGATTGACCTGCAAGTGGATTGGGAATACCCACACATCTTGGGAGCTTAACCTTTGCCAACCTGATGAAACAGCAGGTTAAATTGCAACATCTTATCTTCTCACACAAAACATGCTTCATGTCAACTGAGAAAGCTACAGATAGCCACAGTCCTGTCTGCTGCCAAGCCACAGACACTGCCTCTCCCTTCTCACCTTTTGCTACTAAGCAACCTTTGTGGCTGAAATCCATTTGGTCCACTTTTCAGATACAGAAACACAGTTGACAGCCTCTGGGTAACATGTCCGAGAATACGGCTAGTCCATGAACTGGAAAGGACTGGTGTAAACCCAGGTCTAAGGGAATTGTATATCCAAGTGTTTTATCTTCTGAAAGAGGTGTGTGGTTTCTGTTTCTCCTTCTCTCTGGTGGTTATCAGGGATCTAGTCCGATCTCCTGCCAGTCATTGAGAAGAAAACTTTTCATACTGTTTGAGGGTTGTAATCACTAAATTCCCCTGAAAGTGCTATTTGCCTTGTACTCAGTGGGCATTTGCTATATTAAATTGCATGTGCATAGAGGTTAAAGAGAGCACTGGGGGTGGGTAGGCACCAATAACCCCACTAGGAAAATGTTCTTCTTACCAACTTCAATTCTCTATTCAAGTCACTGGCAAATTAAATTTTATTCCTTCAAAGCAGACTTCCTCTCCTAGAGTAAAGCCCTTTAAAAAACTCATCTTTGCATAATTTGCATATGAATATTAGGTCTTGGGAGTCATAGCCAAGATTGTACTAAAATAATGGTTGGAGTTATAGCTCAGTGGTAAAGTGTTTGTGGAGTAGGTATAAAACCCTGGGTTCAATTCCATGCACTGCCAAAAAAAAAAATAAGTTAATAAAAAATGCTATTAACAGACACAGTATTCATTAGAAGCAAAACTTAAAATTTTCCTATAGTTCATACTATGCTTTCTCCCCCATTCCATATTTCTTACATATCTTTTTTTTTCTCCAGTAAGAATACAAACCTGTTTTTTAGGTATATAGAGTGAATCCTTAAGAGCAACCCATTAAAAACTGAATTTAAAGGCATGCTTTCCTTCCCATTCCCTTTCAGTTCAATTTCCTTCCTTTTATTTTGTCTTTTTTCATATATCATCACCTGGACCAAAACAACGCTTCCACTACTGGATGAATTTTGGAACTGTTTTCTTTTATAACTTAAATTTGATGATTGTGCTAATGCAATGCTTCTTTCCAATTTCTAGAAAAAGATCAGCAAAGATTGAGTCAATAGTCACTTGATATGTGCACGGACATTCAAGTTTCAAAAGTATTCATTGTATAGATTCAGAACAAAAATA